ACATGAGATATACTTTTATGTTTATCTTTATTAACTCATGTTTCTTTCTTAATCATGACCTTACTTCAAGCATAACCTCACCCTCTTTCAATTCTAGAAAAAATTTAGCCTCCACTATTAACTGTTTTTTTCCTTAAATTTCTAACTTTTTTATGTTTTATCTATTTCTTTTCTTTTCATTTTATTCTTCTTTTTTGTGCATCACTTCCTTTTGTGCCGGAATACTTAAAGTGTGTTTACTATGTTCTTTTTCTATGGCCTTTATTTCCCACTTCATTTTTGAGGCATCTTCCAAGCATTGAATGCATTATTAAATGATGAAGGGGTTTCGATGAGATAAATTATTTTTTACTAGTATTTTGATGGAGAAGAGGAGACAAATTTCCAAGTAGATACCCATGTTTTGTATGAATTTTTAATGATTTTAAGCTCTATATATAGAGTCTTTTAGATATGTAGTAGGTGGAAAAGTTAGACAATGAAATTATGCCATGGAATTATCATTTCACTAGAATACCTGTTATACACTTTTCGAGATCACACACTTTGACTACAAAATTATAAACTTTAACCACAAGTTAAAGACTTCTAAATTCAATATTCATATCAACAAAGAATTATCATTTAATCAATGGGTTGTCATTTCAACAAGGAACTTTCATTTCACTAAAATGCCAATTATACACTTTGATACAAAATTATACACTTTGACTGTGAATTTCAGAAATCTAAGTGGAATTGTGATTTGAATAGAATTCCAAGTATACACTCTGATTATGAATTTCAAACATCCAAATGTAATTTTCATTTCATTAGTGTTCATAGTGAAATCATGACCACATGCTCATATCATTTGGTTTTCTCATGACAGAGACTGACTATGTTTGTATCTGGTTCTTAAGGAGGCTGCATAATTATTTTGTACATAACATTATTGTTCATAGTGCTCATTAGTGCATATTTAGTAATGTATTTTGTACATATTTATAATACTTTTAGCTACAATTATGTTTATTTTGGGACATAAGGTACTTATTATGTTTAAAATTTGTTTTATAGTAGCAAAGACATGCTCAGAATGAAAAGGAAGCAAATAAGGAGTTGGAAGCAAGAAAATATGGGCTAAGTTAGAACGAAGAAAAAGAAGGCTTGAAGATAGAATACCACAACGTGGTGATTATCCACCATAACTTGGAAAATGGAAGATTCTCGACCATTGAGCTCACTTGGAGAATATGGGATATCCATGAAGACCACGATGTGGTGCCTTTCAACCATGTCGTGGTGGCTATATATATATATATATATATATATATATATATATATATATATATATATATATATATATATATTCGATTATTAGGTCGTATAGAGGGACTTACAATCAATTTTCTGAGAAGGATTACAACAAAAACCCTCCGGAAACCTTGCAGAAGATCTGGAATCGATTGGAGCTCAAGAGTTGAAGAGATATAGAAAAAATTCTACATAGAACTAATCGTTTCCAAAAAAACTAATTTTTATGCTAACATACTCATGTTTCATCTTATTTGTATAGATTTTGTGTGTTATTCTGCTATTATGAGAGGCTAAAAACTTTATACTTCTGTTTGGTGAAAATGAACCTAATCCTTATGTGTTGATTTCGATTTATGGATGATAAATGTTGATTTTTACTTGTGTTTGATAACTAAACCCTAACATGTTTTAGTTCTAGTTTTATTGCTTATTAATCAAGTTTTACGTGACAGTTGATCATTCTAATTGCATGAATTTGTCACCTAATTGTTTATGATCATTAAATAATTAGAGCTAGGATTAGTTACATCTTAGATAAGGTAGTTAAAGCTACTAACTTTAACCATGTTAAAGATCATAATTAACCTCAATTTGTCATTGGTTGTTTAAGTTGATCATAGGAAAGTAACTACTATCATTCGTAGTCTAATTAGTGCTCATTATTGATTTAGTGTTTAACTTGTGCTTGATCATTGTATGGTAATTCATAAATTGGTATGTCTAGAAATTTGATCATAATAGTTAGTTAACAAATTGATAATCAATATATTTAATCCACTAGAAATCAACCATAGGGGCAGTGGAAACTAGAACTCAACACAAGTACTCTTTAAGCTTGAACTAAATTTGTTTCTAGTTGCTTGTTTAAGTGGTAATTTGGTAGTGATTTAAATTAAGTTCTTCTTATCTTGCAGAATCAGTAAGAACTCATTATTTAAGTTTATTTTCTTAGTTTAATTAGAAGTAGTTATATTAATTAATCAAATTATGTTCCCTTTGTTCGACACCCAACTTACCCAAACTATTCTATAATTTGACTATGTACACTGTCTATAGGTACATATATTAGTTAAGTTAGTTAGGTTAAAATTTTAAAACAAGTAGGTAAATTTGTGCACATCAATAAACCATGACCGCACGCTCATAGCATTTGTTTTGCTCATGATAGAGAATAACTATGTTTGTATTTGGTTCCTATGGTGGCTACAGAAGTGCCTTAGTGATTGTAGAGAAGTCGCCTTAATAAGCCACATGTCTAGTTCCATAGACATGACCTTAAGTGATATATACACATATTCATATCGTAGGTATTGTCTTAGGAATATCGCTCATAATTTACTTGTTAGGATTGGTCGTAGTAGAGTAGTAGAATAGTTATTCCAGCATTCATGCAATCTCTTTTTTAGTTATGCTTGCATGAAGTCCAATATGCAATTAATAATCAAAATAAAAAATGAACTTTTCGGAATTAAAAATCTTGCTATTCTGAAGTGGACAAGCTCCTTTTTCCCTAATGTTTATTTTAATATACCGACATCGTAGATACGTCTTTAGCTTCATCTTTAAAGTTACTAATTTTTTTAGATTGCAGTCGTACATCTCGGTCAGAGGATTTGTAGATGTGGGAAATGGCAAAAAAGTTGCATACCTTGTGGGTACGCAATAGTGACAACGTGATTGTTTCACATACATGACATTCACTAACAGGTTAATTTTAATTTGTCTCCTATAGTGTATCGAGTTGCGTACGTATTAATATGGTGAATCCTCTGTCACATGCTCCATAATGTGAATCACTAAACGTTGTATTGATCGTGTTACCCCCTTTTTAATTGCATAATTTTATTGACTCAAGTTTAATATCTGCTTTTTATATTAAGGCTACATCTTATAACCTTATTCTAATGAAATCATTATATCCATATGAAAAATGTTATGTTTAGGAATTTTTCAAAAATTACCAATCATCCTACTTTAAAGCTTAAAAAGTACGACTTCCTAATATCGAAATACACAGTATGACATGTTCATGGATAACAACAAAAGAAAAGAACAAAAGAATTCATCTCAAATGGAGTTCATATATGAAAGTTATAAATGATCAAAGTTGGATATTTTTCATATTTTTACAGAATATCATAAGGAAAAGGAACATTGAGGGTAATAAAGTGTCCGACAAGTATTCATTTGGTCCCTTATCTTTTTTTTTTTTTGTCTTTATTATACCATTGAACCTAATAATCCTGCTCACCAAAACCCTCGCGACCGGTTGTTGTAGGTTAATGTTTATGTGGATATTATGTGGCATAAATTGGGTTTATTAATTACAAAGCTGCAGTACTGCATCATTCATGCGCTAAATCGACATGGATGCTTCTTCTTCTATTTCTTCCAAACGAAATGCTAAATTTCAACCTGAAAATCATTGTTCCTATGGGTTACCATCTCGTGTACGAACTTCACGAACTAAAGACAATCCAGGAAAAAAAAATCAGATTGTGCCCTAACTCCATGGTAAATCAGATGTTTTTTACTTTTTGTTTAATCTTCTTTCTTTAACCAATTTGTTACTTTATTCAAGAACGAAGGACCAAAATGAAAGTTCTGGGAATGGTTGGAGCCTGAAACCCCTAAAAATGAAGTCAGTTCTGGGAAGGACAAAAAAGAACTGTGCAATTTAACCCTCAAAGTTTCTACATTGGAAAACGAGATCAACATATGTAAGATGAAGATGGAATAAGAAAATTAGGTTGTTAGACAAGAGTTTGAAAAACTCAAATGGAAGCTATTTATTCATAAAGTTGTGATGATTGTGTTGTTTGTGTTTAAGAAGTAGTTAGTTTAGTTGTATTCAAAGACTAAATTTAACCCTTAATGTTGTATTTTTTTATGTATTAAGATTTAATCTTTTTGATTAATGATAGTTTGATGATTTGAGTGGTTTCAAAGAAGTAATAATGTGTTTAACAGATTAGTGAATTGGACATGATACAGGGGTAAAATGGTCCAGATTAAGTTTGACAGTAATCAATTGTTAATGTCTTGATGTGATCCAAGGGTAAAATAGTTCGGATTAACCACAACAACAACATAAAGCATTTCTTAATGTATTAAGACTAAATCTACTTGATTAATGATAGTTTGATGTTTTGAGTGGTTTCCAAGAAGTATTAATGTGTTTAATAGGTTAGTGAATTGGACATGATGCAGGGGTAAAATGGTCCAGATTAAGTTTTGGCAGTAATCAATTGTTAATGTCTTGATGTGATCCAAGGGTAAAATGGTCCATATTAACCACATCAACAACATCAAACATTTCTTAATGTATTAAGACTAAATCTACTTGATTAATGATTGATAATATAAGATTAAACAATCTATGGATAAATAACCAAACAACAAAGCATATAGATAAAAGACAAAGTTATAATATTCCATCAGCATGTGCACCATTACAAAAGACGTGTCCATATTTGTCCAAATATGTCAAAACATGTGCCATGTGCCATGGAAAATAGTTTTCCCAATTACATAATTAAAAGACTAAAATTTTGTCTTTCCAAAAATATTTAAACATAAAATCATTCCAACACCATTAGTTGGTGATTAGTGCTTCCTTCTTTCTTCAAAACATTCCTCCTCAACCCTATCTTGGTAATTCTTTCTGAGTATTTTCGTATCCTCTGCCTAGTTGCAACCGGTTAAACATGTGGAGCTGGATCATCATTAACAGGATCATCTACTTGAACTGGTTCAACATGTGGAGCTGGATCATCTACTGGATATACTTGAACTGGTTCCACTTTACCTGCTATACAAAGTTGTAGTTAATGAGTTGGCTGTTGCAATATTATAACATTGTTTTAATAATATACCTTTCTCTTTTTTACATTTTTTACCATTCTTATTTTTTGGCCTTGAAGTGGATGCTACATCTTCTGGTCTTGTAGGACATATTGATCTATTGTGGCCCCTTTCTTTACAAATAGCACATCTATTAACTGCACCTACTTTTGAGATAGTATGCTTTGTTTTCCCCTTGTTGTCCCTCTCTGATTGATCCTTTTTCCTTTTAAGGGTTGGCCTTCTTGGTAACCTTCTTTTTTGAGGAGGCAACGGCTTCATGTAGGGAGCTTCAGGCCACATGGAACTACCATTAAGTGGACTAATGGTATGGTTGTAACAAGTCAAGAACATGGCTGTATGGAACCATGGTGCAACATAATCTTCTGCATTCTTGTTGAGGTATGAAATGGTTGTCATTGCATGCACACATGGGATACCTGATACTTTCCAAGATCTACATCCACATGTGTTGTTGGTAAGTTCCACAACATATCCATCATTTCCAATCCTAGCCTCATATTTTTGTACCCTAGAAGGGTTAACTCCCCAAAACCTGTCCACAAAAACAGGTTCTATTAATCTACTAGATGACATAATAATTCTTATAAAATAGAATTTATATCATACGTTTGCTGTTTCTTTAACTTTGATATCTGTAATCTTATAGACGGACATATTTTTAAATTACCCCAACTTTGTCCCTATAGCAGCATTCTATACATCCTCTTTATTGCATAAATCCAAATTTCTTCCAACATGGTGATGAGTGGTCTCTTCCTAGCAAGATCAATAACAGAGTTGAAACTTTTTGATATGCCATTCTCATAAGCATCACAAGCCCTTTCCACTTCAAAGAATGCCCTGCACCAACTTTTAGTATCCCTTTCCATGAGGTATTCATACGAAAAAGGGTTAATTTTTTTATGGAATTCATTTCTGCCTCAACTTTAGGTTGAGTAGTAGGAGGTCAAGAAACCACTTCCATGTTTCTTTAATCTCTACTGCCACCATAGCCCATGCAATAGGGAAGATGTGGTTGTTTACATCCCTGCCCATAGCTGCTAACAATTGGCCTTTACATATACCTTTTAAAAAACAACCATATGCCCCTATTACCCTCCTACATGCTGTAATCCAACCATCCTTCACACCCTTAAAACAAACATACATTTTAGAAAAGTAAGTGGTTGAATCAGGCATGACATTCACATCTATCTTTACTGTTGAACCAAGATTTATCCTCATTATTTCTTCTCCATAACTCCATACTTTACCATAATGTTCTATCAAACTACCCTCTATTTCATCCAAAGCATATCTCCTAGTATTTTTACATTGAGTCACACTAACAATCAAGTTAAACTTTGTACTCACTTTGGCTTTCATTTTCCTTATGCTTATTTTAGGCTACTTCAAAAGTTGATTATTAAAATGCTTTCTAATCCATTTTTATGTTACAATGGAACCAAGTTTGAAGGCTCTTGAATAATTATGGTTATCAACTAAGGATTTAATCTTGAAATATCTTTCACTGCTTATCCAGAAAGCCCACAATCTAAAAGGACAAGAGGGGTTCTTGCTATCTTTACAACATCTTACTAATAACCTCTGACTATCATTTTTTTCATAATAAAGATTGTACTCATTCTTCACTGCATAGTTAGTCAAATAAAATTTCAATTTCATAGGGTTAGAGAATCTTATACCTAGAATTGGCACCATTTTGTCCCATTTTTTATTCTCATTATGGATAGGGTACACTGGTTTGTCATCCCCATTGTTGGTTTCAACCTCATCATTTTTATCCTTAGAAATACCTGACACCGGGTGTAAGAATTCATCACCGACAGTCTTGTCAAGAGAAGGGATGTAACCATCTGCTTTATGCTCATATGGAATATCATCAGAAAGTTGTGAGTCTTTATCATCATCCACGTCTGGCTCAGAATAATACCCTTCATCATCTTCTAGTAGTTCCATATTAGCCTAATCAAGTACAACTTCATTTTCATGATCTATATACACATTCATTCTTAGACCAGCTTCATCACTATAACCCGTTTCAATAAACTCATAGTAGTCAGCATCATTTCCAATTCTCCTAATACCCTCTGCCAATGGTTCATTTCTAGCTAGTACAGTAATATACATTATCGCAACTGCCTTCAATCATCTTCGTAACGAACAACTTAAACTCTTTGAGATCCATTGCACCAAAATCGACATCAGAGATTGAAACAACAACCGCGTTCAAGTACAGTAATGGTTTTGGTGCGAATAAACCATTATAATGTACATAAACTGTCAAATACTTACGGAGTTTGGAATTGGAGGCCATCTTCTTCACTGTAACACTCGCATTCACCACTTGTGACGGTCGCGAGGGTTTTGGTGAACAGGTTTATTAAGTTCAATGGTATAATAAAGACAAAAAAAAAAAAAAAAAAAAAAAAAAAAAAAAAAAAAAGATAAGAAACCAAATGAATACTTATCGAACATTTTATTATCCTCAAAGGTCATTTTCCCAATAACATACCTTGTAACTAAAAAATTATGACTTTCGACCATCAAACTTGATGTATGATATGTGAATTGATAGACCTTATTATAAACAATACAATGAAACTTTTTTTTTTTTATCTAAACGGACTTTGTATGAAAAAAAAAAAAATGATGTAGGTTTAAAGACAGGAACAATATTTTTGCAGTCAAAGAGAAAATTGTAGCTGTGAGATGTCAAAGCGACATCATTTGACAAAAGAAATCCCACACCAGCATCATTTTTGTACGTAATGGGCTCCTAAAATTATGGCTCTTTGGAATAAATTTCAGATTTTTAGCTAATTTTTAGAAAACCTTAGAAAAATTTTGCTACTATTTCGTTAATTTTAATTGATAATAATTATTAAATAGGTTTAACTAAACGTGCAAACCAATGTGTTTTAAACCTGTATTTTTTTTGCACCACATTTTTGGCTATTTTCTCCAACATTATTATTAAAATATATATAAATTTTAATAATTATCCACGACCACATTAAACCTATTCTACATGGCATATAGCCACCATTTCCTATTTCAATTTTTGGGTCAGCATACACACACCATAATCAACTTATATTTTATTCAATCGTATTCCCATTTTGACCTCATGCATTATTATCTTCTTATCTCTATTTATACACTATAACCTCCTCAAGAATTCACAATCCAACTGCTCACCAAACCTAAAACATCGGGCGCTAACTTGCACTCGAACTAGACATGGAAGACAACAAGGATCATGCAAAATCCAACCTACCAACCCAGCCATCCGTAGACTCACCGCCAACCTCCGGCCCTTCTTCACTAATCCACTCTCCATCTCTAGTTCGTTCACCGCTCCTCCAGTCACCAGACCAGCAGTCGCCGGACCACCAAGAGGTCCCGAAGCCAAAAACCGGCCCCAAGATCTCTTTTATAAGCATTCCGCCACCAAGCCACTCGCCGTTCATGTCACAAACTCCATATGTACCTGGTACACCAGATAGGCCGATGACGATGCCTCCTAGTGGGGCTAGGACTCCCATGGCTTATATAAGGTCTAGGAATTTGACACCGAGGTTTCTGACACCTTTGGGTAGTCCTTTGAGAAAAGCTCTTCGGATCACTAAATTAGATCCCACAGATGCATGGCTTCCGATCACTGAGTCGAGAAATGGAAATGCTTATTATGCAGCTTTTCATACGCTTTGTTCTGGGATTGGGATTCAAGCACTCATTCTTCCTGTTGCTTTCACCATCCTTGGCTGGTAATTTACCCTTTTCTTTTTCTTTTTCTTTTTCTTATGATTCATTATTTCATCGGGTTCGAGACTTAACCATAATTAATTAACTCAAAGGTGGCGGATTGTCTCAAAACTATGCGGAAATTATGTTATATTTGATAACCTTTGAAAAAGATTTCTTGTATTTTCTCATTTTATTGATTTACAAATCTACTTATTATTGAATTGATTAAACAAATTACTTTTATAATTATCATTAAATTTTATTTTTTCCTGTTACCCATTTTAGTGTAATGGAAAAATACAGAATAACATAATTTTTTTTTTGATTTTGTGTGGATTTATCTATCGAACTATTATTTTAATATAAAATATAAATGAAAAATAAAATGTTTTTTAAACGGTCTAAGATATATATATATATATATATATATATATATATATATATATATATATATATATATATATATATATATATATATATATATATATATAATGTTTTAATCACTAAAAACTTAGCTAGCTATGTTAATAAACTGATAAAATATTATACATGTGTTCTTTTGTTCAGTATTTTTTTTTTTTTTTTGAGCATCTTCAACTCAACACACTAGTTGTAGTTTAAAAACAACGACTAAAAGCTACTTGCCTACTTTAACATAACATCATTTTCTACATTTAGTCTAGTGTTATGAATTAATATACTATAACGACAAATTCAAAATACTATTCACTAATATTCAATTTGATTTTAATGGTTAACTAATGTGTAATATTTTTGGTTGTTGGATCTAAGTTTAGAGATATATCTAGTTTGTTTTAGTTGTTTTAAGTTTGAATATATATATATATATATATATATATATATATATATATATATATATATATATATATATATATATATATATATATAATATATATATATATATATATATTCAAACTTAGTTATGAATTTTATTTTAAGTGTGAAAAAGTTTTAAAATATATTAATTTTCTAATGGATGTAATGTTTTATTTAATAAAATGTATGTTTAATATCCAATTAATAATAAATGAATTGTTTGTTTGATTATATTTGCTTAATAATATGTAGATCAATCCTAAAGTTAGTGATTCTAGTTAAAAGATATGAGACAAATTTGTAAAAAAACTAGCTAACAAATAAAAAAAATAAAAGTATTTTTTAAATCTATATAAATTCAAAACATATAATATACTTGGAATTTTATTTTTATGTAAAAAATGATATTGGATACGAATCACCTTTTACATTATTGTTGGAGAAGATGGTACGTAATGAAAAGATGAATACCACAAATGATATCTTGGATTAGTAACTATTATTATCACTATTAATATTTAATAATTAATATTTAATAAGAGGAAGTTTAAATCGCATAACCAACTCGTTTGATTTCTTGTTTATGACAGGGCGTGGGGAGTCATATTGTTGACTTTGGCATTCATATGGCAACTTTACACTTTGTATTTGCTTGTAAATCTCCATGAAGATCATGAAACCGGAGTTCGATACAGTAGATACATGCAACTGGCAAATGCAACCTTTGGTAAGAAATTTAACCCAAGTTTATTTCCTTACTTTTCTATATGTATCTTTATCCGGAGTCTTTTACACAAGATCTATATTTGTCACTCAGTTTAAAGCTAGCTCGAACTCAAGCTACTCGAGTTTATTATTGTTTCAAGTCCAAATATTAGAATCTTCGGCTCACGTTGGGTTTGTGAGCTTAATCGAGCTTATTTATATTTTCACTTTTACCTTTCATTTTATTCAAATTTTACATATTCAAGCCAACGTGAGTCGCGTTTGTGAGCATAATCGTATCTTTAGATTCAAATTTAAATAATTTTATTTTCTCAATAACTAGTCGAATCGGACTGAACTCGAAATTGTCACTATTTTATTATGCTCGACTCCAAGCTTGAATTTAACGCTTAAGCTTGAGATTTTAATTGAATTGAGTTTCAAGTTTCGCAACACCCCTTGACTCGGCTTGGTTACACACTAAATTTCCATTATTTGGTCATAATTAACCAACATCTAATTTTATTTTACTGTGAAATATTAATGATTGGGCATTTTAGTCTTTTAAGATCAAATTTTGATGATCTTTTTCAGGTGAAAGGTTAGGAAAAATTCTAGCCCTATTTCCGACAATCTACTTATCAGCCGGGACATGTGTAGCATTGATCATCATTGGGGGGTCGACGTCCAAAATATTCTTCCAAGTTGTGTGTGCGTCCACCGATTGTAAAGCACAAACACTGACAGTGGTGGAATGGTACTTGGTGTTCACTTCTGGTGCAGTGCTCCTATCGCAACTCCCCAATCTTAACTCTATCGCTGGCATCTCACTCATCGGTGCAATCACAGCCGTTGGATACTGTACCACTATATGGTTGGTGTCAGTAACAAAAGGCAGACTTCCAAATGTGTCTTATAATCCTATTAGGATTGGCAGCGAAGTATCCAAGATTTTTGATGTCCTAAATGCTCTTGGGATTATTTCTTTTGCATTCCGAGGCCACAATCTTATACTTGAAATTCAGGTAAATGTTAATATACCATCTTTATGTGATGTAACCAATAGGAGATTTGAAACATAAAAGAAAGAATAGAAATTTAGTATAATTTTTAACCTTAAATATATAAATTCTTAGTAAAATAATAACTTAAATTTAAAAAAATGAAAAAGACAAGAAAATGACAAGTGAATATTTTTTAATTCAAAAAATCCAATAAAAATAACATGTGTAAAAGATAAATATTATTTTCATTTATTATGTCAAATTTTGTAAGAATAATTTTCATTTATTAGGTTAGATATTTTATAAAATTAAAACCATATTCAATATTTTAAAAAAATGATGTAAGGAAATATTTCTAAGTATTAGTTTATTAGTTGAGGTTACTTGTAATGAATATTTTTTATTACCCTTGCATTTAAATATATAAAAATGCTTGATTTAATCATCCATGTTGCAAATATAATAATTCATAGAATATTTTTGTATGTATTTGGGTTTTTGGCATATGCTTGTGTCAAACTTATCGTCACATATTCGCAAACTTTTATTCCAATTCGTTGACCAGGGTTTTGACGGTTCCAATTTGGTGGGCTGAACTCCATAGCACTTAAAAGAATTATAATTAACTATTATTAGTGCTCTTATAACAATAACAATATTAATATTATTATTATTATTATTATTATTATTATTAGTAGGCATTTTGTGACGTTTTAGCTTTTTTTTTTCTTTAAAACTACCTAATTTATATTTACTTTTGGTAACGTTGCGTTATTTTTCAAAAACAACGAAACTAAAATTATCTGTTTAGTTTTTTCATAGAATGACAAAGTAACGAGGTTAGATGTTTAGAGGCTAGAGCGCATAAAAGTCAAAGTAGGCTGTTTAATGACGTAAAATATATATTATTTAAGATGAGAAATTGAGAATAAATGATGTTTAAACACCTCCTAATCTATGTTCTTCGTTTAATAATTATATCTTTTGAATAAAATTAAGTCTTTCGTTTTATCATCATACTTATTCGTAAGATAGTAAATGGTTGAACAAATCATTTTAATGAACCTGGATATCAAATTAAGTAACTATAATCAATTAATCATTTGTTTTTACGTGCGGATATGTAAATTATCAACAGCTATTTTATGAATTTGTTTTTTCTGGAGTACAGGCAACCATGCCGTCGAGCGAAAAGCATCCATCAACAGTACCAATGTGGAAAGGTGTGAAAGTTTCGTATACGATTATTGCCATGTGTTTATTCCCACTTGCAATTGGAGGTTATTGGGCTTACGGGCATATGGTAAGATTTTCTTTCTCTAAAAGATTAATCGGTAGTTGTACCTCTGTGGGCCATCCTT